AACGACAACGACAACGACGACGGCACACGAACGGAAAAGTGTCTCAAAAAGTGGTTTTCTACGCGTTTCATGAGTTTTTATGATGATCTAAACCAATTTTGCGAAAAAAGTTTTCGGGACCAATTCCTATACTTTCCCTTGACACGGTGTGTACGGAAAAGTAATAAAGGTATTTTTTGAAGTGAAACTTCGACCGAAATGCTTTTTTGAACAATGTAAATTGATTTGCTCCCTGGTCAATGCCTGTTAGCAACAAACGTGTGCGCCACGGTAGCCAAAACTGTAAACACTATACACGGTGATCGATATAGGAGTTCGGTGTTATTTTTAGTTCAACTTCTTACTATATGTGGCGCACCACCGCCACGTTGAAAAAGTCTATCCTTGGATTAATGGATTAATGGATAGTACGGGGAGTTCCGAGAAAATCGTCGCTCAGGCTGTATTCAGTCTATTGCGAGACGCCCGTTTACGACCATAGTGGACGTATTTATTGTAGTAATTTATCAATGAATTTAGAATATTGTATTTAACCTGGAGTCATACTCGCAAGCCATTCCAAACCAATCAATGATTTTGTAAATATTGTTTTGAATCGTGATAGGTTGTACTTGTTCGTTACCAAGACAGTGCTTCCTGACTATGCGTAGGCTAGAACATTCGCACAACAAGTGTGAAGTCATTTCTTCAGCTCTGCCACATAGTCTACAGTCGGGATCATCTCGTACGCCCATCTTCTTCAAGTGGTAATTCACCTTCGCGTGTCCTGTCAAGAGGCCTACCGCAATTCTAAGAGATGGTTTATTTAAACTAATCAGCTGTTTCGTATTTTTATCGGATTGTGAGTTTATGAAGGCTTTCGTCTGGCTTCCTGAATTTGTGGCCCTCCAATTCATGTCAATGTGTTCCTTTAGCCAGAGCTCTATTTTCCGTTTGACAACTGAGTAGTCAATTGGTAAAAATGGCTCAGGTCCAACGTCCCTTACAGACGCTGCTGCTTTCGCCAGCTCATCTGCAGCTTCATTTCCACGTATACCAGAGTGCGCACGAATCTATACCAGTCGTAACTCATCACAAATTTCAGCTATTCTTTGTAAAGTTAAACAGCAACGCAGAACAATATCGCTACTAATCATACAGTTTTCTAGAGCTTTAATGGCTTCTTGACTGTCTGTGAAGATAGCAATCTTGCCTGTCGTGCCATTCTCTAATATCAACCGGCCACATTCAGTGATGGCTGTAATTTCTAACTGTTTTACCGTGACGTATTTACCCATCGAGGCCGAATTGTTTACTTCTGGCTGCACGCAGTGCACAAGTCTATCCTTACGAAAAACAGAATATGAATCGTCAAAAAATTCAGCATCATAAATATCATTTCTGAGCCACGTTTCAGTTAAAATTATCATATCGTGATCGCAGGAAGCAGTGGTACAAAAGAAGTGTTTGTGTTTGTTGCATATGCTACGACAGTTTTGGTAATAGATTGTACACAAAACGCAGTGTTCATCCGATGTGCATGACTCTAGTTGCAATATCGGCGATGAAAATCGTGACAATTTCCTTCGTAGTGACCTGTGCAGCCGTTGTGCTGTCTCTTCACGACGGGTTGAGGCTGACGTTGGAGACAACAGCTCTTTTGGCACAAATTCGGCTGGTTGCGTTGGCGCCGACCCTTCCGTGGGCGCTGCAGTGGCCGTTTGTTGCAATGCCGGTTCGATGCAATCATTGCCGGTTTCAACCGTTGAGTTTTCACTGTGCCACTGGAGTTTTTTGAATTTGGATGGGCGGGCTTTGGTTTCAAATTTGTAGTTGCGACCGAATTTGTTGGTTGTCATGAGTTTTGGGACGTTTGCCGGTGCAGATGACTTCACAGACTTGACCTGAAATTCGGTGGCTTTGATTTTCTTGGGCCAAGAACCTGCCGCTATTACCTTGTCAAAGTGTTGGCGAGGAACATCAAGTTTGAATGACACGAATGACAACTCCATTTTGTTGTCTTTCTTTACGAGCTTGGTTGTTTTGAAATCACTTGTCAATGGTCGGACGGTTTCAATGCTATTCAAGTGATAAATAATGTCGGCAGGCTCGGTTGTCGGTAGAAATTCGGTTAAATAAACCGAGCGCATCAATACAGTATCAACGGGCTTTGAATTTGCACCGTTTTGTCGACTGTTCCCGCTGGCATCACGACAAAAAACCAATTTGCACAGCGGTGAAGTGTCACTTTGCTCTTCATCTGAAGAGTTCAGTTCTTCCGAATCAAGTCTGGGTCGCTTGCTGTTATTCCGCCGTGAAATGTTTACATTTTGCAAGTCTCCAAGCGGTAAACCCGAGTTTGACACGTTGTCCGATATTTTTTGCTGAGCTTGAGTTGGTGATGGTGTTTCATCCATGGGCTCAGTTCGTGAGTTTGCCGATTTATCGGCTTTGTCCGAACTCACGGAGCTAATTTCGTCAGGATAAAGTTTTTTGAGCTGGTTTAATTTGGTCCATATTGGCTCCAGCATTGTCAGCAGCTCAGCGATTTGGCTTTTTACCACACAGTTCGATGTACACATGTTTACAGTCAGTCAGTAGGCAACAACAATAACAAGTGAACAGAACGAAGAAAAACTTGAAGAAATTATACACTGAAAACTGTACACAAAATAAATTTCGAACGAAAACTTTATATTGCTGAGGTAAAACAGGACTTAAACTTTCAATTTGATGTAAAATATCGTACAATTAAGACGAAAAACAATTTAAAAACAAACAAATTTGTTAAAAATAGACGGAGAGAAAAAAAAGTAGACGTCTAATTTGACAGGTGTTGCCATGATATTGAACACACAAACTTTAAAATAAGTAGCAACATTGACTGTGATATAGCCATCCATTGAGTTGGTGATTAACTTTTGACCTGTCATTACTTTATAATGGAAACTACCGTTTGTGTTAATGTATTTGCGAATATTGTAAATTTTTCTTATGTCTTTCGGTCTCTACTAAATTACGAATTCATAACTACCAACAGGGACTTGTTAGATTGAACGTAAAACTTTTCTTCAATGTATCACCTCTTGATAAATTGAATGATGACTTTTGCAGTCATTAGGGCCGTCACTACAGTGTTAACGCTTCAGTTGGTCTTTCATTTTTTACACGTTTAAGTTAGGCTTTATTGGAACGTTTACATTTCGGCTACCTATGCATTTCCATGTATTGGTTAGGTTATCTTGTGTCAATGCTTTTTAGACCAAAATGTTATACCTATCGAGAAAGACTATTATAACTATTTATTGTATAAAATTACCATATATTGTACAAACACAAAAAGATCAGGTTTTTCACGACTCTTGGAGTCGTTTTCCTGCAAACCAAAATATTCAGCCAGTTTTTGGCGGTGTGAAATAAATAAATAAATAAATAAATTTGAACATTTGAATAAATTGTGAACATTAGGTATATATTGGTATAGTTGTATTTTTGACGTCCATTGTATATTTTGAATATACTGTATATAAAAAAGGGAGAACAAGAATTTAAAAAGAATAAGAATAAAATAAACATTTTTCGTCAACCAATCTCTTCTATCTTTACCTCGGCTTTACACATTTTCCCCAAAGGTACAATTACAATGATACCCTAAACATTAATTAACTCAGTTAACCTTTCTATATAAAGACGCAACATTGATTGAAATAGCGTAGTCAAAAATCAAAAGAAGGCTTCACACTCCAGCCGTATTATTATTTTATATTTATTATTTAAAGTAGTTATAATTACTTATTTTTGTATGATGTTTTATATTTCTAGGAACTTGGCGTTATGTGTCCCTAGTTTGTTGCAAATAAATATCTCGCTTTATGATGAGAACAACAAAGAACTAATGTTCTACAATGAGCATCTTATCGATATCGCGGAAGAACTGTTATTAGAGCATTTGATTCGTTTACCACGGGTTATTCAAACTGGAAATGAAGATCAAAAAGCAACAAGCTTTTCTCAACTAAAATGTTTTATAATTCTACTTTTCAAAAGAGGTCGGCTGCAAGTAACTTTATCAAATAATCATCTTATTGAACAATTATTGGATATTCTGCTGTCATCAGTTGAAATGGAAAGAAGCCACCGACTTCTAGAGATTTGTAACGATGTTATGGATATAAATGATGGAGAAAATTCAAAAAGTTGGGTCTTTTCTCACTATGGAAATAAAAAAAGCCCATGGAAAATCTTTAAAAATATCCAAAACGAACAAATTATCAAAGAAATCGAGACGGTATGTGAATATCTAAATAAAGATCAACATATATATACGTTCGTCTTGGAATTGTTATTGAAAATGCTTATGAAAAACTCGGATAAATGCAATGAAGTTCTAGTTATAATACAAATGCTACACTCAAATCAATTCAAATTAAATGATGTGTGTTGGAGTCTTCATATATCAATTTGGGAAAATTTGTTATGTGATCACCGATGGAATCTGGTAACTGATACGAACGAATTCAGTGATGTTAATATCAATTACGAGGTGAACTGGACGGGAGACAACCAAATGAAAGGAGCAGTTGACTTTTGTGATAAATTATCACATCAAAAAGTCCAGATGAATTCGTTGAAAGAAATTAAAAACAACGTATTGCATACATGTTTAATTATTGAAACAGTAAGTTTCTTTGCAACACAAATGCGACAAGAAGTTTATGCTATGAAATCGTTGCACTACATAGTTGAAAAATCATCAAGCAAACTGTATATCATTCGAGCATCGACGTTTCGAGCGTTGGAAACCATAAGATTAGCTTATAACTTCAATGCAATTTCGGATCTTTTGGACATCAACGCTGATTACCTTATTCATAAAATCGGCAAATCTTTAGATAAACCATACCGTATAGACGCAGCAATACACATTCTGAGAAATACTCTTCGTTCCGACACAACTATATCGATAAATAATATAGAAAGCATAATATCACTACTCATAATTGAGTATTCGAAGAAAAGTCAATCGAATAATTCATTGCAATTTATCTATGCTTTTAAATTGATATTGTCAAGAATTCATGATGTCTCTTCCGAATATACTATAGATGTGTGTAATAATGATGTCAGATCAATGAATCAAATCAGAAATGTGTATTATAATCATCTTCATATATGGTTGGGAGAATTGCACGCAGACAGAAAATGGCATGTGATTAATCAGAGTGATCGAAATATCATAAATAGGCGTCCAGAAAACGTAAAATTCACACCATACACCAAACTTGCTGTCATCATTCTAAAACAAGTTATTCCATTCTTGACATCTAAGAAAACGACACTCAAAATGTTGGCGCTGGATACTATAAATATAGGACTGGATATAATAAAAAATGATGAAAATGAGTTTTTACCGATTGTGAACCTGATTTGGGATACATTAATTCAACAATGCATCCAAGGAAATGACAAAGTACTGCTTCAATATTGTTTCCAGGTGATCACTAAGTTGAGTAAATTCGCAAAAGAAATTGTGAAAAGACGATTCACGAGGTAATATTGCTTTATGTGAAACATAGTCGAACCAATTATAATAGGGGAATGTTGTAATGAGTGGACCAACTAAGCCATTTTTGCTGTAGATTCGCTATCTCAAGGTTTTTTGATAAGGCAAAATTGTTATATATATATTTGTTTGACATGTCAGATATTTGTTTGACATGTCGACTTTGATTTCATCGAAATCGGTTGGGTTACTCATTACAACATTACCTTAATATAATAAGCTCTTTTTATTTCAATATTTTCTACATATAATATTAATCTTGTACGTTTTACAGGGAACTTTTGCCTCGCGTAAGGCAGTACATCAATGATGTTGCGAGAAATGATGTTGAGCAGCAGACGTTTTCTTGCAAGTATGTTTCTAGAGTAGCTTGTTTTTAACACATTTTGAAATTTGGCATCAGACCACTTCAAAAGCTTCTTGATATTTTGAGTGACAGAAATTCAGTGCTTTGTGGTGTTCTAAAGTTGATTTTCTCCATTATATACTTTGACGATATTTGGCCACCATGTCTGAATGTGGTCTAGTCAAAAATATGGTGGTTTGGCAAATTTCGATAAATTTTCAGATCTATCCCCATATCCCCCCACCGAAGAGGGTACCCAAAGGGTGGTCTGGGGGCCTAAAAGAAGTTCCCCTTCGCCACCTTTCCAACGCCAATCTAAACGCCCCAATCGGTTTACAAACGAAAAAATTATAGGCATCGGCAGTTTGACCTTGGTTTTCTATGAAAATAGAGATTTATTTTATTTAACACCGTCAAGCTCTGGCTGAATATATTATAAGAGAATATGACCGGAAAACAGCGCAATACTTCATCAATTTGTATTTACTTACAATGATTAATAATAATAATAACTATCAGTTCTCGCCTCGTTAAAAACCTGTCTCTTTTCGTAATCTTTTTGCATTTGCACAAGTAGGAGATGAAAACAAAAACACAGTCGTACAACAAAGATGGTAATGCTTGATATTAGTCCGACAGCAAACGGTCCAAAATAACCTTTGGTAAACGTTTCCAAAGGGACAAAGGCTATGTGAAGCGTCAACTGTTACGAGTTTAATTTAAGACTTTGCACAAAGGACTGCAAAAGTCGTCACTCAATTTATACAGTTACTAAAAAAAAATCTACTGTATACAGTAGATAAATTTTTTTTTATTTATTTATTTATTAACACACCGCCAAAGAACTGGCTGAATATTCAGTTTTGAAGGGAAATGACTCCAAGTGTCATGAAAAACCTGATCTTTTAGCGTTTTTACAATATATGGTAATTTTATACAATAAATAGTTGTAATAGTCTTTCTCGATTGTTTTTTACAATTTCGGACCAGTTCGGATCAGATTTTTGGACCAGTTTAAATGCCAAAATTCTTCTATTGCCCCACTTGTATTGTGTACCAATTTTCATCCAAATCGGACCACTTTTTGAAATTTCGACTTTTCGCGAATTTTCGAGGTTTTTGACCAATAACTTGAAAAATATCCAAAAGCCAGCCCACTTTTTTTTCAAAATAGTTGTTTTTTCGGGGCAAGTTATCACTTGGTAAAGTGGAACCACACTTTCCTAGGAAAAATCCTGGCTACGGCCCTGATTTTTGCTGATTCTATAGTAAACTTGTTTTTCAGTGTTCGCTTAATAAAACCTAATGCACCGTGTGCGCTAGCTACTGTCGTCTCAATGTGGTTGGCAAATGTGAGTTTTACGTCAAAAATGACACCCAAGTCTCGGTGTAGCTCAATTCTGTCAAATTTTTGCTGACCATTGCTTATCGTGTATACATGTTTTTGTACGGTGATGTTCTTCGCATACGTCATGACGAAACATTTCCTCAGATTCAAGTAGAGCTTGTTGAGCCTACACCACTCGTGCAATTGGTCAATGGCCATCTGGAATAGGCGGGCATCGTTCGGTGACGTGATTCTCAGAATGAGTTTTAAATCATCTGCGAACAGTAAAACTAGTGCATAATTTACAGTGTCGACAATGTCATTAATAAAAATAATAAAGAGACAAGGTCCCAAGATACTTCCAGCAGGCACTCCCGATGAGACGGTGACTTTCTGTTGCCGATTCCAACAAACTGCTTGCGTGACGTCAAGTACGCATGGAACCAGTTGACAAGTCCGCGCCCAAATCCGAAGCTCACCAGCTTTTGCAGAAGCCTCTTGTGATTGACTCGATCGAATGCTCTCTCAAAGTCAGTGTACAATACATCAGTTTGACATTTCGCTATCATTGAATCCATGGTGTAGTTAACCATCTGCAGCAAATCCGTTGAGGTTGACCGATTTTTCCCAAAACCATGCTGGTTATGGATTATTTTGCCATTCACATATGCTTGTATTTTATTGTACACAATACTTTCAAACACTTTTGCTAACGTCGGTATTATCACAATTGGCCTGTAGTTCGATGCCATGCTTTTTTTACCAGATTTAAAAATCGGTACTATTCTCGAGTTTTTCAAAATGTTTGGCACAATTCCCGCTTGCAATGACTTGTTGAACAGTTGTGTCAATGGTTTTGTTAATGAATGCGCACAGTTTTTTAGCAATTTTGGCGAAATACCGTCGGGTCCAGCTCCTTTGTTCACATTGATCGAAAGCAGTGCCTTCAATACATCAGCCTCGTTCAGTTCGATGTCAAACGCATTATCACCGCATTCACTTAGCAAGTTATCTAAATCAATGTCATCACTTGGTATGTATTGGCTTTCGAAGAAATTCGCAAATAACTCCGCTTTCGATGCTTCACTAATTGCTGTTTGGTTGTTGTATTCAACAATCGACGGAATCTCACTGCGTTTGCGTCTGTCGTTCACAAATCTCCAAAAATGTTTCGGGTTTGATTTAATGTCCGATTGTATGCGGCTGATGTATGTCTGAAACAGCTGACCCTGTAATGCTACGAAGGAATCAGTGATAGCCATGTAATCGGCGAAATCGTTTGTGATTTTTGAGCGCCCGGTGCCTTTCTTCTTCGGTTATTCAAGTTTTTTAACTGTTTATTGTACCACGGTGGATCTGTGCTCTTAACAACGGTGACTTTTGGGACGAATTTGTCCATTGCTTCGTGCACAACATTCTCAAACATCCGAAACGAATTCCCAATGTCGTCCTGCTGCTCAATTTCCGTAGAAATATCTCTCCCAACAAAGAATTCATTCATCGCCACAAAATCAGCCGCCTCATACTTGTAAAACTCAGTTACGTCATTCAATTCACTCTCATTTTCATCAATTGTGATTTCAACTTCGATCGCTTTGTGCCACACATCTGTTTCTATCAACGGTGTCAACGACTCCGAAAGCGATACATCATAGAATTTGTTTGTGAATACGAGATCCAAAACATTTCCGGCAGCATTTTCGAGATTGCACATTTGATGGGAACCGCAACCGAGCATTGTATCAATGACAGCTACGCCACCTTCCGTTGTCACATTCATTGGCAGGTAGTAATCACCGTCGTCCGCCTTAATCCACTTGATTCCCGACTGATTAAAATCACCACACACAATTACCGTGTCATTATCATCATATTTAATTTTCGTCACTGTCTCGGCAAATTCTAAAAATTTCTCTGTTTCATGCACAGAACGAATGTAAACAGCAAAATTGTAAATATTGCACTTCGTCAGCTTTACTTTAACACAAACATATTCAAGTCTGCTATTTTCCGTCAAAATTATCTTTTTACTGTGAAATTTTGAGTCTATCGCTACTAAAACTCCACCTCCGTCACTTCTTTCACTGGTCAAAACTGTACGATCACCGCGATACACATTGTATTTTCTACTAAAATGCTCTCTGTGAGCCAAGTCTCGAAAAATGCTATTATGTGAAATGGGCACGATTCTGTCGCTAAACGTACCGCATCAACTTTATCACGAATGGAATGAGCGTTTTGAATGAACATATATAAATCAGTTGGAATGGAAACTTCACTTAAACTTGCGCCTCTTCCTCGGTTTCCATCAATTCCACTGAAAGTGACCGGTTTTTTTCACTCAATTTCGGAGATTCATTCAATTTCGGGAAGAAATCACCAAGCGTTTTGTTTTTCAAAAACTCGCGCACCATCACTTGCTCTGGCCACATATCAGCATCAATCAATGATTCAAAGTCTTCTTCACTTGATTCAATTTTGAACGACACAAATTTCAGTGTGCTCAACTCACGGTCTTTTTTCACTAATTTGTGCACATTAAACTTTGACTTATCGCTGATCGATGTATTGTTGACAATGTAGTCGGCAATTTCAATGTAGACGGCAAGTCCAAACTGCCTTAGCAAAACTTGATTTTTCAGGCCGTTTCGGTTTTGCTACCACTGATAGGCCGATCGATTGCTTCGTGCCAATTTTTGCGGTCGGTTTGATTTCATTCATTTTCATTTGCGGAGCAATATCGAAGCGTTTGCGCTTTGCAGAAGTGACTGGAGTCGACACATTCTGACGCATTACATTTGCAAACGAAGCTGACGGTTTGTTTGTATTTGGTTTCGGTTGATTCGATCTCCGTGTGAAGACGCGGTTATGTGCGTTTGGTTGTTTTGCATTTGCATTGGCATTTGTTGTTTCGGTTTGTTTGCGGATAATTTCGGTTTTGTTGTCAATGGCATCCAATTTCTTTCCATTTGCATCGATCACACTTTTGAGCAAGTTGACTTCATGCATTATCGAGTTGATTGTCACTTTTTTCGGTGTGGATTTGGAGCCAACAGAGACATTCAAGTCCGATGCAACATCTGACTTTTCATTCACGCATTTGTTGCACAAAATCAAAATGTTCGGAGAATTAATTTGACTGACTTTCACATTTAATCCGATGCAAGGCAGATGTACCATTTGCTACATTGCGAGCATTTTGCGGTTAATTCGGGTTTGGTGTTCGTCGGTGGACAATCGTCCCCCGTACATTGTTTATGTGTTGACATATCGCTATGCGATGTCATACACCGGAATCACAGTGGAAAAATGTTCACAGTTCAATCACAGATTATTTCACGAGACGCAATAAATAACATTAATCTTCATATGATTTGAACGGAGACAATGTTTATTTCCACTGATACAAATAATTTTTCAACTAAATCACCATAAAAATAACAAAAACAGTCAAATAAACAATAAA